CTTGTGTATTATTTTGGTAGGGAAAACTGGTATCAGATTGGATTGGACTAGAAGACTTCGAATAGCAATTGGAGCAGCCAGAGGGATTCAGTATTTGCATGAGTTAGCAAACCCCCCCATCATACATAGGGATATCAAATCAAACAACATCTTGCTGGATGATCGCCTGAATGCGAAAGTTGCAGATTTTGGACTCTCGAAGCCTATGGGTGAACCGGAAAAGGGTCATATTACTACTCAAGTCAAAGGCACAATGGTGAGTAGCCTTTGGATTGATATTTATAGTGTAGCTGATATGTTCTTGACTTCTTACTGTAAAAACGTTGGATAACTGGAATAGGGTTTCTGTTAAATTCTGTTTGCTTGGCGAAAGTCAAACTATAATTTGCAGGTGTATGTAGAAATTATGGGTAGTGTAGCATGCGCAGAGGAAAAATATGCATCTCTCTGCACTAGGATTTCAAAATAATTACAAAGAACTTTTTATGTTTCATCCACCATTTTGCTCTCCGGGTGTCTTAAAACCAAAGTAATTTACGATTGATTTATTCTCACTTCTCCTTTTCATTTCCTTTTTCACTCAATCCAGGGTTATTTGGATCCTGAATATTACATGACACAAGAACTCACAGAAAAGAGCGACGTGTACAGCTTTGGGGTATTGCTATTCGAGCTTTTAACTTCAAGATCTCCAATAGTGAACGGGAAATACATTGTTCGGGAAGTGAAGGAAATGATGGACAAAAACAAGCATTTGTATAACCTCGAACCTCTTCTCGACCCAATAGTTGCTTCCAATATGGCACCGGGTAGTGTCGAGAAATTTGTGGATCTTGCACTGAGGTGTGTTCAAGAGTTGGGAGTCAGCCGACCCACAATGAATGAAGTGGTTAAAGAGATTGAAAATATCATGGAGTTGTCTGGCTTGAATCCACATAATGAATCTGCCTCGACTTCGAGTAGTTATGAAGGGAAAATGAAGGAGCATGGCCATCCTTATACTTATGAAAGCCTGTCTTCTCATAATGAGCCTTATTCTCCTTCAATCTAGAAACCAAGTAAGGCTGCTTCTGTTTCTAGAAAAGGATGCTTCTATTTAGATTTCTACGTTGAAAACAGCACGTTAAACATGTGTGTTCTTGCATGTTACCACCTGTAGCAGAATTTATGGATTGTGGATGGTAAAGTTCGACCGGAAAAGGTTTGGAAGTCAAACGTTTATGTTTGGAATCGGGATGCCATGCATTTACATGAAATATTTGTCACCAGTTATCATGGCTACAAGAGAGCATGTTATGAATTATGATTATAGGAGGCTGAGAGGAAGATCTCATGTAAGAAGTGAGACAAGTTTGTACATTTGTTGCTGTATTGTTTTGTTTGAGTGAAGGATTCGATTTTTCCTCTGTAAAATAGAATGTTTTCCTCTGTAAAATAGAATGTTGTGTACAATAATAATGGTAATAGTTGACATAGTATTTGTTGAAGAAAAATGTGATTGATGGAATATTCATAACAGAATTCTATAAAATTTCTCACAAGCAATTGCAGATTTTGGACAATTTTTGTATAGGAAAGGTTCCCAAATAAGATTTCACAAGAAATGAAGAGTAATCAAGAATCACTTCTGCAGAAGAAAACCATGTGGTATTAGCTGCCAAGTATTTAAAATAATTCTCTGAGTTGCTTTTGTCCAAGAAACCTCGAGATTATATCGACTCCATCCGGACTCTTGTACATGAAATTGAAATGCTTTTTCTGGAAAATTATCTCATTATATGAAAGAGGAGAAGCACTTCTAATGAAGAAAATACAGAATATGAACCCATTTTCTCTGATGGCTTGCTTGCCAAAAACTTTCTTCCACAGTTACAATAATAAATACTCAACGTTTTTTCCCTCGACTCTAGATAAAATTCCATTTTGTGTTCTCATAGCTACATACATTTGCCCAAATAACAATGCAAGCAGCCAAAGATTTGCTAATATGTTAACAGAATAGTTGAATTGATCAGGATCTATAAAGCTCGTCGCCATTCAGATTTCTAAAACAGGCGCATAAAAATTTTCCAACCCCAGGAAACAGATGAGTCCATAAGCAATTTCTAGCTAGCAATTGCTTTTGCCCTCAACTGCCTCCTTCAGTTTTCTTCCCAGTGCATAAGCTAGTGGAGGAGGAACAGCATTTCCAATTTGTCTGTGCTTGTGCAGAACAGTACCAGAAAATTTGTAGCTATCAGGAAAACCCTATCAATAAACGAGTTGGGATTAAACTCAGTTCAGAGAGAAGTTTCAAAATCAAATCATAAAGTTCCGAAGATACATCTATATTTTCCATGACAAACCCAAGTTGCATAATTATATCTTCACTTCTAGTTTTGGAGATCAATAAGTTTCACAAACACTGACCATAACACAATAAACATAGACCAGATAGCGTCACTTCCAAATTTTTAGATATGTCTATGCCTCATTTCCAATTCAAAGCAAATCAGAAACGTTAGGAGATTATGTTTGTTTGTCGCATTTAATATGGAAATATGCCACCAGATCCTGACGTGCAACTTGTAATTACATTTGCTTAGAATGATATTGAAATCATAGTATTCAGGTTCTACGGTTTAAACCTCCAAGTATCAGTCAATCGATTAATGAATTTGCAGTAGCTTGAAAGGAAACACACATGGAGGTGCCTCACAAACTTAGTCTTTTACTTTAGGAAATTTGGCATGGGCTTTGTATGAACATTTTTTTGCAAACCAAAAAAACAAGGAAGCTAACTTACCTGAGAGCGTGCACACTCACGAACAGTAACAATCCTGTCTTGTTCAGGATGAAAGCACATTCCGACTTTGCCCATCGGTTGTGGGTCAGTTATAGAAGTCGGGAAATTACCCTCCCAATCTAACCTTCCAAACAGTCCTTTCCATTGATTGTGCCTCTTGGCAGTATTAGGCAAGCACCATGGTATCAAATCAGCTACTTGTCCAGTTGATAATTTCACCTGTAAATTGGTAGAAGGAGAATTCAGCTAAAAGATGCAAATGCTCAACACAGACCACTCTTGTTTGGGTTATGTCAAACACCTTTTCATCTGGAAGATCACGCCAGTCAGCACCGGGACGCTTGGGGATTTTCTGACACCTGATTAGGTTAAGCTCGTTCATTTCCTTTGAGATGTGGTCAATTAATGTGGCCATGCTACCTCGGATTTTCTTCTGGTACCATGATATAGGCTCACCTTGATACTGCATTCACAAACATTAAAAGCATGAATGTAAATATGAGCTAAAGTAGATAAAAAAGATAGACCACGGTAACCCAGCATCAGCCGACAGCCAATCAGTTGTAGTAAGCAAAATTGTGTTGCTTTTAATTTGGGATAATTCTTAAAACGACACTCAAGCTTTAATCTATACTTGCAATATATTAAGTTTAACTTTCAAAACTGCAAACACCCCCACCTACTGCAAATGATGCATGTTTCCCCTACACTCCCTCACCAGACATAATGTACAATAGACATAATCAGAGAGGAGTTTTCTTATTTTAAAGAGAACTGAATAGTTTTATGATTGAGCTAATTCACATGGGTAATATTTGTAAGGGTTTTTTTATTTAGGTGATAGTAATTAATTTTTCTTCTTTTGGGTGCTCAACTATACCTGTAAACTTGTGTTTGATGCACCATTGGTCACAGGAGGAAGATCCCCAATTGTATCTCTGACAGTAAGAGAGCGAAATGGAGCTCCTTTTGTAGTACTCTTAGCAGCCGAATAGTGCAGATTCTTTGACATTGAGATTTTCAACTCAGGTGCAGCAAAGACATACATCGGCTCAGGCCACTCTGGAAGCAGCTGTTCAGGAGAAGCCGCCCATATAAATGCTCTCTT